GCCATCTGCGAACCTGTAAGAAGTGTCACCCGATGTGATGAAGTGTCGTCAGCTGTTACACAAAAGGCATCCCAAGAAACACTAAACATCCTAACTGCGACTGTGAAACGTAACAAAAATGTATCAACTGATATCCTACATCTGCGCTTACACTACATTGTTACCTGATCTTCCTGTTGAAGTCTGGTGCCATATTTTGAGGCTTTTAGAACCAGCTTCACTGTTAGTAACGGTGAGAGCTGTAAGCTACTTGAATTTCGTTGTTCAAGGAGATCCAGTTCCAACCAAAAATGGCAGTGCAAATTAGTCGACAGGATTATGCAAGTTATTCGGAAGCAATGTGCAGAAATATGTCAAATCTACAGGAAAATTACCAACACTACGCCAGCCAAAGGACAATTCAACAAGGAGATCTTTATATGATAGGAAGAAATACAGTCAAAAAAAGATATAATCCTTATAGATTGTAATAACATATAAAATAAAATTATTTAAAAAAAAATATTTTACATTCGAAATAAAATTAAAGGTAAAATATTCTTAATATTATTTTTCAGTAATTAAAACAAATGGATTCAATAAGTGAAACAAATATAGATTGTAATAACATATAAAAGCTTCCCCTACGAGATGCGAGACCTTGAGGTTGGTGGGGAAGCTCCCGGCCAGGGCACCGGAGGGGACCCCTCTTGCGCTCTGGCTAGGTCTAAGGAGCATCTCAATGTCTTGTCCTTGGCTGTAGTGTCGTGGCCAGGGAACTGCACCGAGACATAAAAACGATGCCGGACGGGACCTCCTTTGGGACTTAACGTCCGTCATACCGTAAGTCTTTCCTAGGAGAGACATGGGGGCTTTGACTTTACTGTCTGAGCCGCGTGGATGAGGCACCACTATAAAAACCTCCCCAATTCCTACGGTATAGTGCGCGCCAAAGGGATGGATAGCCGAGGGGAAACCCGACCACTAGCGACTAACTTGGGATACTGGGCGACCTCCCAGCTCATAAGTGCCTAGTCACGGTATTGCGGGGCTCTGCCGTGATGGTCGTTTCTTTCCCTTACTACTCGTGGGATCATTATATGGACCAGAAAAGTAATAACCCTAATGACGAGGATGGATCAAACCGTCCCGATCCTTCTTCTAAGGAGGAGGAAACTAAGGAGCGTGGGACTATTCCTACACCAAACAACTCACCTCAGCCGGATCAGGAAACAGAGGGGCCCAGAAAGCTCCTCTCAAGACTTCTCAAGGGCGGAATGCCCTATGAGACCGCTCTGCAGTCGATTCTGCAGCGACAAGCGGAGAAACAGAGGACACAGATAAGTGGGGGTACCTCTTCCGGGAGGAGACAAATCAACCCGGAGGAGAATAAACCTCACACTGGTGCTCCTAATGCTAGCAGGCGCATCCGCTTGGATGCAAGCATGCCTGAACAGAGCGCTAAGAAGCCTTGTAGGGAGGGCGCAATAAGCTACGTGGAGGCTGCTGGGGAAATAAGGGTTGGAGTAATCCGACCTAACCATCCAGAGAACAGCCTATCCGCCGAGCAACTCTTGTTGTTGAAACGTGCCATTTTGAAGGCCGTGGACGCAAGTACAGAGGAAGGGCTACAGGTACGCTTCCAAGGCTGCTCGATTCGGCCTGGATGGCTGCTTGTAATCTGTGCCGACGAGACCAGCGCTGCGTGGTTAGAAAGGATGGTCAACGACCTTTCGCCATGGCAGGGCATGGGACTCAGGGCAGTAAGGGGGCGTGATATACCCAAGCCTCATGTCTGTACGGCCTACATTCCCGATGATGAGCCTGGAGAACGGCTCAGAGGGGATGTGGTGCTGAACAGACTTAGAAGAATGAATCTTAGCCTGCTAACTCAGGAGTGGAGAATCCTCCACCAGAGTGATGCAGGGCCGGGACAAACCTGGACCTTTGCGGTTGACGAGAGATCCATGGATCTCCTTCGCCGCAATGGATTCAGGGCCTACTTTGGGTTTGGGCAGATTACCTTCCGACCTAGAGATAAGGAAAATGAAACCAACACGGAGCAGACCAGGGCGTCAGTCTCGGGAGATGGTGGGGACCATCCTACAACCTCTCGGGTAACAACTGACGCCACGAGGTCTGGCAACACCCAGAGGGAGAGAGCTGGAGACAAAGTAGTGGCACGAAAAAACCCGGCCATGAAAGGGTCTAAAGCTAAACCCTCTGGAGCCTCGGGGAAGCCTGGCAACTCGAGTGGGAACAAACCCACCCGGAAAGGTAGGCGAAACGAATGTAGGTTTCCCACCAAAAGGGGACGTAGACCCCCTGATGGTGGGAGTAAAACCTAAATTTGACTACTGCAGGGATGGCTGCAGCAGTCAAATGTATACAAAGTAACCTACAACATGCCAAGGCCGCTTCCAACGTCCTTGGCAGAAGGTTCAAGAAGGAAGGGGTACATCTCGCCTTCATTCAGGAACCTTGGGTTAACTCTAACTTGGGGACGCAGAGGGTAGACTAATTACTGCCCCAGGAGTAACCAGACCTAGGGCATGCATTTTAGTAAAAAAGAGCGTGCACTTTTTTAACCTTTACAGGTTCTGCTGTCAGGATATGGTGGCGGTGCATGTCCAGATCCCAGCGGGGAGGAGGGGAGGTGGAATGGAGTTCGTTGCCTGCTCAGCATATTTCCCGGGAGACAAGACAGCAGATCTACCTCCTCCAAAGAAAGTGAGAGAACTAATCTCCTTTTGTAAGAGGAAAAATCTACAGCTGGTGATAGGATGCGACGCCAACGGCCACAACGAGGCATGGGGAAGCACGGATACCAACTTCAGAGGTGAGTTAATTCTTCATTACTTAATAGGTGAAGGGTTAGTGGTTAATAACATAGGCTCCGAACCAACCTTTGTTACCTGTAACAGGAAAGAGGTTTTAGACATTACGGTCAGCTCCAATTATTTGAGCAACAGGATATCCAACTGGAGGGTATCATCTGAGCCATCGTGCTCGGATCACAGACACATACAGTTTGAAATAAGCGTAGGTGAAAGAAAGAACTCTCCTGCAATATAGGGATCCAAAATGCACAGATTGGGAAGGATACAACCGCTCACTCGTGCATCTGCTGGAACCCACAATTGCAAAAGTGAGAGATCGCGATGAGATCGATATTGCGGCGGAACAACTGCGGTGTGCAATCATAACGGCTTATAGTGAAAACTGTCCACTTAAAACAAAGAAGGATAACAGGAAGTCCTCTTGGTGGAACAACAAACTGGACAAAAGAAGAAAAGAAGTGCGACAGCTCTTCAATCGCGCTAAAGTGTCAGGTAACTGGGAAACCTATCGTACGACGTTGGCGGAGTACAATAAGGAAATAAGAAGGGCGAAGAGAGAGTCTTGGAGAAGGTTCTGTGGGAGTCTGGTCGATCTACCCCAAAGCACCAGAATTCACAAGATTCTCTCAAAAGAACCAGTGAATGAGCTAGGGACGATACAGCGCCCCGACGGTAATTTCACAGAGTCCAGGAAAGAAACGTTAGAGATTTTGGCCCAAAAACACTTCCCAGGCTGCCTGATTCTAGGTGATGAAGAACGACCTCCCCCAATACTCATGAGTCGCAGAAATCGGCCCAAAAAAGAGGATTGGGAGATGGCGAAGAAAGTAATCACCTATAGGGAGACAAAGGGGGCGATCGAAAGTTTCGACCCATTTAAATCTCCAGGAGAGGACGGGTGTTCCCGGCCTTATTGCAGAAGGCTGCGAGCATTATCGTCCCTCGCTTAGTAAGGATTTTTAGGGCTAGTCTGGCGTGGTCACACATGCCAGCGGATTGGACGAGAGCAAAGGTGGTATATATACCGAAGGTGGGGAAACAAAACCTACAACCTGGCTCATATCGACCAATAAGCCTTACATCATTTCTGCTGAAGACCCTGGAGAAGGTGTTGGATGGGCATATTAGGGGAAGGATCCTTACGTCTAATCCCCTGAATGTCCGACAATATGGGAAATTCAACAGGGAAATTTAACAGAACTGGCCCTCAACAATTTGGTGGGGGAAATTAAGAACACCTTTGATCGCAAGGAAATTGCTGTAGGGATATTCTTACATTGAGGGTGCATTTAACAATGTTACCCCTCAATCGCTCCTAGGCGCTGTAAAAGCCCGAGGAGTCGAAGCAACCATAACTGAATAGATTGAGCAAATACTCAAAAATCGAATAGTAACGACCTCGCTCAGCGGTGAGTCCGTCAGGTTTGTTCCGGGCAGGGGATGCCCGCAAGGAGGAGTTCTCTCTCCTCTTCTGTGGACCCTGTTAGCGGATGACCTGATGGCAATCATCGATGCATACGAGGTTGAAGCACAGGCATATGCGGACGACCTGGTAATCCAAGTAAAAGGACACAAAGAGGAGGACATCTCCTCAAAAATACAGGAAGTCTTAGATGCAATTCACGGCTGGTGCACACTGGAACAATTAAGTGTAAACCCACAGAAAACCGTGATCATACCATTCACCAGAAGAAGGAAAACAGACAAACTATAACCGCCCACTCCTCTTGGTGAGACAATTCCGTTTGCGGAGGAAGTTAAGTATCTAGGATTAAACCTGGACAAAAAAACTTAGCTGGAATTCCCATCTGGAAAAAATATCAAAAAAGGCTTGCTATGCTCTATGGGCATGCCGCCGAATTTGTGGTAGAAACTGGGGATTAAACCCCAAAAATATGTACTGGCTATACGTGACAGCCATCAGACCTATTATAACGTATGGCGCAGTTGCCTGGTGGCAGAAAGCCAACCAAACAACGACAAAGAATAAACTGTCAAAATTACAACGACAAGCATGCTTAGCGGTGACTGGTGCCTTTCATTCTACGCCGTCAAAAGCTATGGAAACCCTACTCGACTTACCTCCTCTTCAAATTATTTTGGAGAGGGAGGCGAGATGGACTACATATAGGTTTCTAAATATGGCACGAGAGAGCCAAGGAACAATGGTGAGAACTGTAAGCTACTTGAATTTCGTTGTTCAAGGAGATCCAGTTCCAACCAAAAATGGCAGTGCAAATTAGTCGACAGGATTATGCAAGGTTATTCGGAAGCAATGTGCAGAAATATGTCAAATCTACAGGGAAATTACCAACACTACGCCAGCCAAAGGACGATTCAACAAGGAGATCTTTATATGATAGGAAGAAATACAGTCAAAAAAGATATAATCCTTATAGATTGTAATAACATATAAAATAAAATTAAAGGTTAAATATTCTTAATATTATTTTTTCAGTAATTAAAACAAATGGATTCAATAAGTGAAACAAATACATTTGTTTTTAGATCTTCCTGTTGAAGTTTCGTAAAGGACGAGTCAACGAGTTCAGCCAAAGGACTGGTCAACAAGGAAACCTTTATATGATGGGAAGAAATCCTGTCAAAAAAGATATAATCTTTATAGATTGTGATAACATATAAAATAAAATTATTCAAAAAAAATATTTTACATTCGAAATAAAATTAAAGGTTAAATATACTTAATATTATTTTTTCAGTAATTAAAACAAATGGATTCAATAAGTGAAACAAATACATTTGTTTTTAGATCTTCCTGTTGAAGTTTGGTCAAGGACGAGTCAACCAGAGTCAACGAGTCAGCCAAAGGACGGGTCAACAAGGAAACCTTTATATGATCGGAAGAAATCCAGTCAAAAAAGATATAATCCTTATAGATTGTAATAACATATAAAATAAAATTATTCAAAAAAAATATTTTACATTCGAAATAAAATTAAAGGTTAAATATGCTTAATATTATTTTTTCAGTTATTAACACAAATGGATTCAATAACTGAAACAAATACATTTGTTTTTAGATCTTCCTGTTGAAATTTGGTCAAGGACGCGTCAACGAGTTCAGCCAAAGGACGGGTCAACGAGGAAACCTTTATATGATTGGAAGAAATCCTGTCAAAAAAGATATAATCCTTATAGATTGTAATAACATATAAAATAAAATTATTCAAAAAATATATTTTATATTCGAAATAAAATTAAAGGTTAAATATTCTTAATATTATTTTTTCAGTAATTAACACAAATGAATTCAATAAGTGAAACAAATACATTTGTTTTTAGATCTTCCTGTTGAAGTATGGTCAAGGACGAGTCAACCAGAGTCAACGAGTCAGCCAAAGGACGGGTCAACAAGGAAACCTTTATATGAACGGAAGAAATCCAGTCAAAAAAGATATAATCCTTATTAGATTGTAATAACATATAAAATAAAATTATTCAAAAAAAATAGTTTACATTCGAAATAAAATTAAAGGTTAAATATTCTTAATATTTTTTTTTCAGTAATTAACACAAATGGATTCAATAAGTGAAACAAATACATTTGTTTCTGGATCTTCCTGTTGAAGTTTGGTCAAGGACGAGTCAACGAGTTCAGCCAAAGGACGGGTCAACGAGGAAACCTTTATATGATTGGAAGAAATCCTGTCAAAAAAGATATAATCCATATAGATTGTAATAACATATAAAATAAAATTATTCAAAAAATATATTTTACATTCGAAATAAAATTAAAGGTTAAATATTCTTAATATTATTTTTTCAGTAATTAACACAAATGGATTCAATAAGTGAAACAAATACATTTGTTTTTAGATCTTCCTGTTGAAGTTTGGTCAAAGACGAGTCAAAAAGTTCAGCCAAAGGACGGGTCAACAAGGAAACCTTTATATGATGGGAAGAAATCCTGTCAAAACAGATATAATCCTTATAGATTGTGATAACATATAAAATAAAATTATTAAAAAAAAATATTTTACATTCAAAATAAAATTAAAGGTTAAATATTCAATAAGTGAAACAAATACATTTGTTTTTAGATCTTCCTGTTGAAGTTTGGTCAAAGACGAGTCAAAAAGTTCAGCCAAAGGACGGGTCAACAAGGAAACCTTTATATGATGGGAAGAAATCCTGTCAAAAAAGATATAATCCTTATAGATTGTGATAACATATAAAATAAAATTATTAAAAAAAAATATTTTACATTCAAAATAAAATTAAAGGTTAAATATTCAATAAGTGAAACAAATACATTTGTTTTTAGATCTTCCTGTTGAAATTTGGTCAAGGACGCGTCAACGAGTTCAGCCAAAGGACGGGTCAACGAGGAAACCTTTATATGATTGGAAGAAATCCAGTCAAAGAAGATATAATCCTTATAGATTGTAATAACATATAAAATAAAATTATTCAAAAAAAATATTTTACATTCGAAATAAAATTAAAGGTTAAATATTCTTAATATAATTTTTTCAGTAATTAACACAAATGGATTCAATAAGTGAAACAAATACATTTGTTTTTAGATCTTCCTGTTGAAGTTTGGTCAAAGACGAGTCAAAAAGTTCAGCCAAAGGACGGGTCAACAAGGAAACCTTTATATGATGGGAAGAAATCCTGTCAAAAAAGATATAATCCTTATAGATTGTGATAACATATAAAATAAAATTATTAAAAAAAAATATTTTACATTCAAAATAAAATTAAAGGTTAAATATTCAATAAGTGAAACAAATACATTTGTTTTTAGATCTTCCTGTTGAAGTTTGGTCAAAGACGAGTCAAAAAGTTCAGCCAAAGGACGGGTCAACAAGGAAACCTTTATATGATGGGAAGAAATCCTGTCAAAAAAGATATAATCCTTATAGATTGTGATAACATATAAAATAAAATTATTAAAAAAAAATATTTTACATTCAAAATAAAATTAAAGGTTAAATATTCAATAAGTGAAACAAATACATTTGTTTTTAGATCTTCCTGTTGAAGTTTGGTCAAGGACGAGTCAACAAGTTCAGCCAAAGGACGGGTCAACAAGGAAACCTTTATATGATGGGAAGAAATCCTGTCAAAAAAGATATAATCCTTATAGATTGTGATAACATATAAAATAAAATTATTCAAAAAAAATATTTTACATTCAAAATAAAATTAAAGGTTAAATATTCAATAAGTGAAACAAATACATTTGTTTTTAGATCTTCCTGTTGAAGTTTGGTCAAGGACGAGTCAACAAGTTCAGCCAAAGGACGGGTCAACAAGGAAACCTTTATATGATGGGAAGAAATCCTGTCAAAAAAGATATAATCCTTATAGATTGTGATAACATATAAAATAAAATTATTCAAAAAAATATTTTACATTCAAAATAAAATTAAAGGTTAAATATTCCTAATATAATTTTTTCAGTAATTAACACAAATGGATTCAATAAGTGAAACAAATACATTTGTTTTTAGATCTTCCTGTTGAAGTTTGGTCAAAGACGAGTCAAAAAGTTCAGCCAAAGGACGGGTCAACAAGGAAACCTTTATATGATGGGAAGAAATCCTGTCAAAAAAGATATAATCCTTATAGATTGTGATAACATATAAAACAAACTTATTCAAAAAAATTATTTTACATTCGAAATAAAATTAAAGGTTAAATATTTGTAATATTCTTTTTTCAGTAATTAAAACAAATTCATTTGATTTTAGATCTTCCTGTTCATGGACGAGTCAACGAGTTCAGACTGAGGACGGGTCAACAAGGAAACCTTTATATGATGGGAAGAAATCCTGTCAAAAAGGATATAATCCTTATAGATTGTGATAACATATAAAATAAAATTATTAAAAAAAAATATTTTACATTCGAAATAAAATTAAAGGTTAAATATTCTTAATATTATTTTTTCAGTAATTAAAACAAATGGATTCAATAAGTGAAACAAATACATTTGTTTTTAGATCTTCCTGTTCTGGAACACCCTGTACAATATGAACGTGAAAACTGCAAGACGCCAGCGTCTTGCATGCATGGTCTTGCAGAAGTCTTGCACTTGTCGGTCTTGGTCTTGATGTTGCTGTTTGTTCAAAAAGAACTTTTTGTACTATTTTTATCTGTAGAATTATCCATTGAAGTTGGACACACACATTTTTGTTTTCACTCTGTATATTATTTTTTAGTGAATATATTTTTTAGTGAATATATTTTTTAGTGAATATATTTTTTAATACATTCTAGAGGATGCTTTTATATTAATAAAAAAAATTCTTAAGCCATTTAGAACATTTTCTCTTTATTTTTCTACAAAAATATTAAGTCTAATTTTCGTAAGCTAAAATACATCTTATTTATAATACAGAACTGGAATCATGGAATATATAGAGTATTTCTATTAAACGGTAAAACAGTAATCCTGTATGAATCACAAACCCGTATGTCTTAGTAATATTTACATATATAATACAAGGTAACAAAAACAAAAATTCACACTACTCAAATTGTTTTTTTTTAAGAAAAAAATTGTGTGAAGTAGCTGTTTTTCGATTGTTTTAATCTGTGCTGTCGTATTTTTCTAAACTATATGTTCTTTTCTACCAATTCGTACACCAATTCGAAACCTTTGCCAGCAATATGGTCATCAGTTCGAAATTTAATGGCAATACCGTCTTGAGTTGAAGTGGCTACTTCTTGCATTGTCTGTAAAAATGAAATAAAATTATAAAACACACTTTAATTGACGAATTTACAAAAAAATATATGTGTAACAATAAAATCCAGAAAGTGAATATTAATAATTACTACCATATGATTGAAATAAAAAACGGAGTCAAAGAAGGCTGGGGAATGACAATCGATGATAATTTTGGCGAGGTCGAACCCGATAGACATTATTTGGCCCTGATTTTTCTTTTGAGATTCTTCTAAGAAGGTTGTAAAGATTTACTTACAGAAAAAAAAACTTACCTGGTTACCACAAAACCGTCCCAATGACAAGCTGGTATGATCCAAACCATCGTATACTTCTACATAATTATAAGCACAGTCGTCTTCCTTTTCCAAGTCAAATTCTTGGAAGGTTAGTCTGTGTAGGGAAATATTTGTTACATTTTCATATTTAGATATTACCAAATAACAATAACTCAAGCAGGTCATCAATCTATCATAATAACCTAGTCACAGTAACCCAGTTAGAATAACCACTGTTACAATTTATTGTTTTCATGAGCGTTGCAATATTATATCAACATCAATGTTACCATGTCGCAGATTCGACACTAATAAAGTATTGAATAAACGAATGTCCAACGAAACACATGAGTATTTTTTCGAACTACTTTACATGGCGATCCTGCCACGATGGTCGCAGGGGGTGAAGTTGTACGCGTGGTTGCTGTTGAAGTGTTTCTTCAGTTGAATTTTGCGGCAATGCATCGACCACAAACGGTGCTTCTTCTTCTTGCGAGATGGCGTGTAATCTCGCATGGCTTCTTCGGCTGGAATGTCGGCAGCTTCCTTCTGTGCGAAATCGTATATTTGCTGACATGTCTTTGTCTACATTATTTGTGCAATAGCACAATAATTATTAACAAACACTATATGCAAAAGCTCTGAACAAACTCTCGTCTGAACCAGTCCATTCGTTGTGATCATTGGACCCCATTAATCCCAGTAAGCTAAAGGACGTGGTGGTCGACACTGGATCTCCGTTCTCGCAGTCCTTATTGCTATCGTTGCTGTCTTCAGAACTAACCTCGTTGCCCGAATCTAAACTAGCTTGTTTGCAAATTTTTCGGAGATTTAAACTACCGGACCCAGAACTATTCCGCGTGTCGCTTCCCTCGCCTAACGATTTTCTTTTCTTGTCTCTCTTTTGTTCTTTTTCCTTTTCTGCTTTTTCGAAATCCTCTTCTTGCTTGGCTTTCACCGCCATTTTCTCTTTTACAGCTTCCAACAGCATGTAACACTCAACACCACAAGGTTCACTAAAAGGCTTTAAATCTGGACCACGTCGTTTTTGTAGACTTGGGCCTAGATGACATGCCTGCACCCTGTGTAAAAAACAATTGTAGTTAAAACATGTTCTACAAAATAGAGTATGAAAAGAGTGCATAGTCTGTTCCCTCGGAACTGATGCAGCATTTGGTCCATCTATATTTGGAGTACATTCGGGAGGACCGTTTGGATCAGTTCTCTCAATATATTTATCTCTAAGCTCCTCCGGACCACCTTTATCTGGAAATTGTGCTGAAATAGTTTGAAAAATCACAAAGGATGGAAATTCCAATTCCTCCATATTCCATCCTTCCATATTATCAGACTTATCTTGAAACTGCATTAAAGCGTGTACTAATTCCACAAAAAGTTCATCATCAATAAAGCCTTATTCTTGATCGCCATGTACTCTTCCATCATAGTTTTTAATTAATTCTTCAATAAATGTTCCATCTTGATCTAGAATTTCATCTCCCATATAAGGAATATTATGAAGTACTGTTTCATCTTCAACCATAAAATTTTGCTGAATAGGTGCCCACGTATACATGGTAGGTATTGGTGTTACATCATTAATTATTTTTATTGCTGTTACTTGAATTTCTCCGTCATTTCAATTCCTTCTGCCTTCTTCATGCATGTAGCATGGGCAGGTAGATCAGGACTTGGAACCCAAAATGCTCTACTTTCAGACCACCTTTTCTGTTCGGAAATTAAGGTTTCAGACATTTTAAAACAGACATAAAAACCGATTAAGAATTTATACGTTCTAACCGGTAGAACTGAGAACGTACCAATTACAGACCGATTTTGGAGCATACGTAGTGTTTCCGTACTTTGGATGAGATTCTATCTGTCTTTTGTCCAAGGATGCTTGAAGTAGTCCACCACATTGCTGTTCTTCACGCAAGTAGCACCGTAATAACCGTGAAGGGTTAACCTCCCAAGAATATGTTCCGGGGTTGTAGATCTGCATGGGAGGACAAACGCCGTCATCGTAGAAATTTCTACAGGCTATGTAGTGGCTTTTCGTCGGTCCTGTACAGCGTCCCACGCAGAATAGATGGCAACATTCTCGAGGTTTGGGTCCGAAACATCTCCCATCAGCACACTGGGGACTGCAGGTGGTTTTGGAGAAGAGCTGACAGTTCTCTTTGACTTCACCCCAGCATCCTCTGTAACAGTCTCGATGGCAAGGCGGACATTCTCGTTCACTCGCTGTGAAATTATAAGCGTACACTTCTTTGGCTTTTGGATCTGATATGACCTCTTTCCAGTCGATTGACTTGATGTGACATAAATTGTAGTTCATTATCCCTACGCTTCCTTTCAGGATATCCCTTAAAGCTGGTAACTCTACTGTGTACATCTGGTTTAGAGTGATAGCCAAAGCATATTCTTCGTTTTCTTTGTTAATTTTAAAGAGAGTTCTTCCTCTGATGATTTGGAGCCTTGGCAGTACTGTCCTCTAGATATCGACGTGGGATATTAAAACATATCCGGTAACTTCTCGGATGTACTGCAAGAAGCTCAAATCCAAATTATCGTCTCTCAGCTATGTCAGTTCCAAATTTCCATCTACGTATGTACAGTTGATGAATCGATCCTTCAAATTAAGGTAACGGTTCGAATCAAATCCAATACGCATGATATTACCATCTGATCCAATCATTTTTGGTAATTTTCCACCACAAAAAGTGCCATGGTGCTTCGTTTTGTAGTTTCCCAGGTGACTATAAACATCAACTTTGTCGTACTCGCATATTTGGTAGTCGTAGTAATTTCCGTCTATGTCCATGTGAGTGAAATTGAGAAAAATCTTATGATGGGGAGGAGCCTCTATTTCCCAGGTACATTTTTTGCCCACCGGGTACAATTCAGGGAAGGAGGGTGAAGTTATTGTGCCTCTGGGTGCGGTGAATTTACCTCCGCATGCATCTAAGTAAAGAAAATTTTATATTATTTATTATATTACAGTAGTAAATAAATATAGAGTGTTCCTTAATGACATGCTAATATTTAAGGAGACGATTCTTGGGTCTATTCTAAGAGAAAAACTTCAAACAAATGTATGTCCTAAAATCTTAATTTCTGAGATACAGGGCGGTAAATTTTTCTAAAAAAACTATTTTTCATAATAACTCTGATTTTATTATAGATAACTTTTATAGGAAGATCAGAACCACCCTGGGATTTCTCACCGTGGTTGAAATGGAAGTGTTGAAAAATCCGAATAAAACATTATAATTCTGCCAGAGATTATCATCTGACGACAAAAAGTTAATACACACCAAACTGTGCTAGATAAGGAAAGTTCAGGAAAGTTATTAAGAATAATTCGACCAACAATACAAATGACAACCCTGCGCTACCACATCCAACGGCATTCACGGTACTACCAAAATTGCAGCGGTACAAACTAGGGATGGGCATCATTTGCTTAAATTCTGGTAGAGATGTAGCGCAAAAATAAGAAATTATTTTAGGCTGCTACAAGGGTACCATTCCAGTTGGCGAGTACGTTCCGTATCCACAAACAGGAACGCAGTCAGATATGCTCTTTGAACCTTGCTTTTTGGTGTAAGTTCCTTGAGGACATCGTGAACAAGCGCCTTGTCTGTCCCTGTTCTGGAAGAAACCTCTGGGACAGTACGAACATTCTTTCTGTATTAATCCGGCGTAAGTACCATCAGGACAATGTACTATAAAAGAGATATGGGTTATTTAGTAATCTTGAGTAATATAAAGTGACTTACAGCATCTGGGTACGTCATTGGTGTCCATGTTGAGTACTTCACCTACATTGCAGGTAAAACCTCTTAAGTTTTCTGATTTGAAGGCTTTGAGCGGAGAACACTGGTTGCCTATGGAGGTGACGTTTAAGAGGGGTTCTATCACGGCGTGTGCAGACGGTACTGATAGGTCGAACATTGTTTGATCATAGGGCATATCTGATATCCACTTAAAGGTTGCTATTAGACTTGCGGAGACCGAAATCGACAAAATACTAAGAGACAACTTTTAATCGGCATTAAACTGCGTACACTGTTTCGCTAACGGGATAAAAAAAGTCAGTGGCGTACATGCTTTTTTCAGAAAAATATTCCAGTGATAACCCATATGCACGTCCTTGGTGAATATGTCGACACTTTTTTAGCTTTAAAATATGTCGCATTTATAGCAACTTTTACCCTGAAAATTTCATTCGATACAATAAATGTACTTGAAAGAAAATTATAATAAATCAAAAAAATATTAAGATTTCAACACCCTGTAGCTACCAAACAAAGCAGAATCGGACCTATGTTGATATGAAAAATAAATCTTATTTTTACGTCAGGAATCTCCCCACGAGAGATGGCACATGTTTTTTGAAACATCCTGTTAAATACCGACAATATTAACTTATACACCCTGTATCTCCGAAACTAAGCATTTTAGGACATACATTTATACGATCTTTTTTACTTATTTTTATCTACAGAATATGCTGCCAAAGAGTCCAGAATACAGTTGGACCACTCTGTATATCACAACATACACAAGAATCTAAAAAATTACAAATATAGACATATTTACCTAATTCTCTTATTGCCAAGCCAATGTGACACATGGCTCACAGTGATGCAACACTTTCTTGCCAATTCCTCCTTTGCCTCCTCACTAGGATATGGATTGCTTAGGTGCGAATAGAAATATTCATTAAGAATTTCTGATGCTTGTTGAATTTTGCTCTGTAATCAGAATGTTCAATTGCTATGTCAGGCTGACCAACCTGTGCAGCAGATGAGCCAGAGGCAGCTGCTCCAGCTCCACCACCTTTCTCAGGGTTCTACAATTCTCCTCACTCCATCCAGGTTGACACACGCATTCGTGATAGAACAGCTTATCAACGCAAATTCCGTTTTGCACACATGCAATGCATGTTTGTAATTTCTCGTTTGTCCTTAAATCTTGAAGCAGATTCTGTGGCAACGATGTTCTAGACAATAGACCATTTAAAATCGGTATTAATTTGGCCAGAGGCTTTTTATTCATCAAGGAATTACCAAATTGTGTTGCCACCCTTGGCAATTCTTTGATTTTTGGTTCGCTTTGATCTGATTTTTTTCAGAAAGCTGATCAGACAACAGCATGAATCCCCTGTTTGTTAGGTGAAA